AACTATCGATATATAGTTTATAGTTAATAAGATAAAATATACTAAAATCTAATTATGTCTAGGAACTCGCGAAACGATTTGCTTTATCCTTTGGTTTGGACGCCGTGAAAAATCGTGAAGCGATTACGGCCTTGCATCGTGCAGGAGTGTTATTCGTCATTACACCTCCAGATGGTATCGAACAAGATCCTACAGGTCCACCACCGAATTTACCGTTCCTTGAAATACTGTCAGAATTCACGAATAAACTTCTCAAACAAGATAAACGTCTAGTGTAAGTACTATATTTTAAATCTAATTTGTGTCAATATTTTTCTTCAAGTTTATGAGTTTTAATATGATGTGTCCAATTGTAGACTCAACTTTCTGGATAGACGACTACAAGCTGGAATGCCATCTTCACGAGGAGAGGATTGGCAGCCTTTATTATTGTACAGAAATAGTTTATTACATGGTGAAACTGATCAAGTACCAGTTACAAGTAAACGAGCTTACACAAGACGCAAGAAAGATTTAGCAGGTAAAAGATTTTGTTTCACTATGACTATTTTGAAAAGCGCTTTTGATGTATATATTCATGGAACACAACTCCGTTTTTCAAAATTAATTGAATAGGAAATTGGTAAATGTATCGTAATTTTGAACTGTAAAGTTCTTATTTTCTTGCTGTTTTCATGCAAGACTAAATTCATTTAATGCTATAAAATTGGATTCGGACTTGAACTGAGACAGACACACACACGCGCGCGCACGCGCACACACACACACACACACACACACACACACACACACACCGTAAATTGCAGAAATAATTGCGTTTATGATTATAATTAAAGAAGCATTAAGAGTCAAGTATTAATTTTAAGTTATCCATGTCTTCTTCATCGTCTAAACAATAACATTTATTTTTGCAGAAGAAGAAGATGCTGATGAACCTGACGAAGGTTCTGATCACGAACTTGCTGGGTGAGTTGGAAGTACCCGAATATAGAGAAAATCTAATATAATATTGTTTTTTGTTACACTTGTTATAGGATGATCTTAATTATAATGGCAAATAATTGTTATATGTAACTGTTCGATAACAAAAAATCGGCAAGTGCTCGAATATAATTGCAATAAAAACAAAATACTTTATCTTTTGCAATGCATACTATATTATCTATCTATATATATGTATATGTAGTTATATGTTGTGTATAGTTTGCATTTCAAGTCATATATGTTATAATTATATATTATAATTTATATATGTATAATATGTAGTTTGTATTGCAGCAGCTAGTAAAGCATTTAATTTTTATTGTAACAATATCCAAGTGTTTGACAAATTTTTTTTGTGTTATCGAATAGTTACATATAACAGTTACTTGTAATTATAATTAAGATAATAATAATAAGTTTAACAAAAAAATATTATATTAGAATATTATATAAAATATATACGTAGACATATATATATATATACTATATATTATTTATAAAATTAAAAGTGCGCAAATTCTATGCACATGCTAATGTGCTTCTTTTATTATTGCTATAAGATAGTAATGTTGCTTGCAAAATGTAGTTCTGTAGAAATAGTGGTAGCAGTCTCATTACTAATAATATTTTTGTTTTACTGCCATTTTTTCATTAATGCTTTATTAATTTTATGATATATTCGTAAAACTTTAATATGTTACGACCCATTGCTATGATAAATTTATGAAAAAGAATGAATTCCATGTAAGCTGATAATCGATGTATACTGTTAAAAACTCTATTATTTTGGTATGTTAAAATATGAAATTTTATAATTATCATAATTTTACAATTTTTGAAATATTAAAAAATTTTTAAAAAAGCACTATTGAGAAAGTGTGCGTGTGAGAGAAAAAGGAAGAAAGAGAGAATGTGGAATCATAAGTTGTATTTTTTTATTTAAAAAATTGCGATCTGCTTGCAGTATAACTGCATGCTTGTGCTTAATTTGTAAATATCTATTGTTATTTAAAATCATAATATTTTAAACAAAAAAATTATTTTTTGTATACATATATATGTTTGCATGAGTAGTGAGCCTAACCGCTTGTTACAGGCGACCTTAAGGGGGAACACCAGGGTGACGGCCGAAAAGGCTATTTTCGTAAATTTTTTTTTTTTTTGTGAAAACTAATAGCCTGTATGAATTATTGTCTTTATATATTCAAAGTACATACATTTACGAAGTTATTAAAAAAAAATTCATTAAATAATATTAATATTTGTAGCCTCAGTGCTCGTTGATGTGCCTCGTCTGGAAAAACATGGGTGGACAGGCGCTCGTGTTGCGTCTGAACGGGAGCTCCGAAATAAAAAAATTCTTTTTTTATTTTAAAGTATATGAGTGTAGTTTCAGTTAAGCGTACGGATTTTTTGATAAAATAATTTTTGACAAAATGGCGCTGTTTTAAAAAAAAGAGGTCGCGATTTTTTGCGAAAAAATCGTTACTTTTTTAATGTTGTTTTTCAAAAACTAATAATCCGATTAAAAAATCCGTACGCTTAATTAAAGACAATTTTGTTATAAACATTCTGTCTAAAACTCAAGTCATTCGGATAAAAATTAGCCGAGATATGTGAGCGCCCAGTTGTGAAAACTGTGGTTTCGAGAAAAACGCGTTTAAAGTTTTTCCGCCCACTGTGCGGCATCTGACCACGCGCTACTCCATCATATATTTACTATAGTTCCGTTGCGAATTTCAACATAATATTTTAGGGACATATTTTTAAGACTCCAGGATTACAAAAATGCAAAAAAATCGATTTTTTTAATCTGTCAGTGGTGTTCCCCTTTAAAAGAATTTAAGAATATATTTTTATTATAGATGAAAATTATATATCAATCAATGTATGTTTAAAATTATATGTAAGGGACAAAAATTGTATATTTTCGATGTAATTCGTGCTTGTTTTAACAACAAAGCATTTCTGCTAGAATAAGAGATTATTACAAATATATAATATTGTCATATCATATTTTTGAGGTAATTGAAAAAATAGTGCATAGAGAACGATGTGTGTATTTTATCGAGATTGAAAACCAAGTATAAGCTTAAAAAACTTTGTATTCTATTTATATATTAATAATACAAATTGGTGTGATAGACGTATGAATAAATATTGCTTCAAATAAGACCTTCTATTCCCAGCGCTCCTAGATCCTACTTTATCAAAATTAAAAAGTCATTGAAAAGCGCAAAAAAAAAACATATTTTATTAATCATTAATATGTAGCAAAATAAAAGAATTGATCATTTCTGTATGCTTCATATTTCCTAAAATTAATGATGCCTACGTTCCTCTTCATGTGACACGCCGTTCTCTATACCCATCACTTCACAAATATGTGTCATTATATTCATCTATATCATTTCTTGATATCGTTACTTCGATTTTAATATTTTACTTATTAAAAAATCCTAAATAGATATATATTTCAGTATGCAAGTCGATCATATGTATGCACTTGACAATTTCTCGTAATTTTGATATTTTTGTCCCTTTATCTCGAGTAATCAGAATAATTGCACTTCCACCTGAAAATGGGCGTTTTTATTTCAGCAAACAAAAGAAAAAGCGTGGTCCACGGAAAAATCAGTGAGTAATTTATTTTCTCATATTTTTATTGATTTAAATACGAGTAGAAAAAAGTAAAGCATCAATTGAAATATAGATCATTTTTAAATTATAGAATACATTTATTTAATAAATGTCGATATAATCGTTTCATTTTTTTAGATTACCAGTTACTAAAATGGTAATACGCGGAGCCAAAACAAATGCTTTCTATGATAATAATAACACTGCAGAAATGCAAACGTCTCCTACAACAGCCATAGAAGATACCTCGACGAGTCCTTCGCATGATATTGATAACAGACTTAAAACTTTACAAATCCAGTCAAGATCGTAAGTACGCTGTCACATGTATCTGTATATTTTGAGATTATAAAATAAACAGAACATAATTTTTCGATAGACGGCGAAATCAAGATCACGTAGAGCACAGGGAATTGCGGAGAACTTCTAGAAACTCGGGAAGATATGTTGAGGGACAATATATGGTAAGTTTGAATACTATTACAGTATGAATGAACATAATGCTACGAATTACATGATATACATCGATTCAAATTAAATTACAGGAATCTGATTCTGAGTAGAAGAGACATCGTAATCGTTAAAAGCTTCGCTCTCTCATATTTTTAAATTTAGACGATTGGATTGTGATATGTATTCAAAGCAGCTACGCGATTTGAAAATTACACAAACCTAATCCCAACTTAATTTATATAGATACATAGAGCTTTTATATATGTATAGAACAAAAAAAAAGTATTAATATGTTTCGACAAATAAAGTTATAACATATACGTTATTACATATAAGAAAAAATTTTAAGTTTTCAGAATTGAGTTTATTTCATTATACATTTATTACATTATTCATGTTATAAATAATACAATATATGTATTTCATTTTTATATAAAAATGAATATTTAAGAAAAATATCTTACTTATCAACCATTTAATAACTTTTTTAAATAAACACACAATAGATACAAAATTGTTTATTAGCTTTATTTAATAGTTTTATTTGTAAAGGCATTGTAGAGGCACATGGTAAACTTGATATATTATACTTTTATATCTTGCTTTTCCTGTACATTTTGTGATAATGCTTTGTACACTTGAATGTTTCATATAAATTTATAAAATATTATTTATGTACCACAATCTATTTACACATTATTACACATATTGCAAAACTTACAATAATTCTCAATTTTCTTCCAATATATAATATTTGACATGACAAAAGATAAGAATAGTCATAGAGTAAAATTACTATAATTACTAATTTCATATAATTTACACGATATCCGCAATATTTAAATAAATAATGCAGATATCACGTAAATTATATAAAATAAGAGAATATATAATTTGTAGTTATAAAACTCTTAGTTGTTATGCTAACACATATTGTTACTTTTTATACATAATCGTATGGCTATAATATTTATTCAGCGATCCGATTGTAAACGAGATTTGCGAAAAAGATTACTGAGTCTGCGTTTTGGCGTGCTGGTTGCATTCTATTAAAAAATATGTTTGACATGTTAATATCGCTTAATATAAAATTGTTTATATTTATTTTTTATACTCACTTCATCTTGTCGTTTTAACGAGAATATGTTCTTCAGCGAATGAGGAGTAGTCATAGTTCTTCTATCCACATTTCGTTCTCTCAATATACGTGAACTTGGGCTTCTTAATTCATTACCCTAACACAAATTTTTGGTAATAATTTTCTAATGATACGATTGCATGATAAAAGCGTCGTAAAAAGTTTTATTTTTTCAGTTTTAGCGATTTCTTGAACAGAGATTTTTATTGTAATTGTGTGCAGAGAATATACAAGGTAATAGCATGCACGAGGATATACAAATACCTGCAATGATAACCTTCCTCCATTTTTGCTTGGTGTTGGAGGACCGGGTTTTTTATATGATATCTATATATTTTATATGATATCAATAAATATTGAAAGTATTGCAAATATTTAAGATTTCATAAAACTGATGGACACTACTCTTACCTGAGATTTATCTTTTTTCCTAGCTTTCTGTTCTGGGAGAAGACTTTGGCTAAGACTATCGTTGAAGTTTTCTTCTACTGAAGAACCCGTCTATAAAAAAAAAATACGACCAAGATATATATATTGCTCGAAATTAATAAAATATTCAATATTCGATAAGAATTCTAAAGATGTAATAAACATTAAGAAGAAACTTACTTTAATATCTTCTTCAGTCAAAGTTGGAGGAAGAAATTGCATTTCTGCAGGATAAGAAGATTTCAAATGAGGCTTGCAAAGAGAGTTTCTCATTTGTAAAACGGACAAACGGTTGATATCTGTGATAGGCATAAAATTGCCCTTTTTCATATCAGCTGAAATAGAAAGCATCAGTTAATGCATGCCACAGAAAAGTTAAATTTAATCTTTTATCAACGTTGGAGTATCTATAATGTGCGAAATATACTTAGATAAACATTATCAAAGATTTCTTCCTCGTCCTCCGTTTTAAATACACTGCCCATCGCTTGCATGCTTCTAATACTGTGCCTCCTTTCGAGTGTTTCTTCAGTTATAAGCGTTGTTACTTTATGTGCTTGTTGTATATTTTCAGGTAACATTTCTTGTTTCTGCATTCTATAATAGATTAATTAATCATCAAATTGACAATTTTTTTTACAATATGTTTCCTATCTAAAAAACAGTTGTGCCTACTTGCAAGTCTTACGCGAAATTGTGGCTATTGGTTGGTCCGTTTGGGATTCTCTAAGTTTAGTTTCTAGTACTTTTACACGCTGTAACGCATCTTGCTTCTGTTGTTGTTCGATTAGGAGTTTTTCTCCCACACTCCAAAGTTGTGAACTTAAGTCGCCAACGTGTGCTTTGTACCTGTTAAGTTCATCTCTCTGTCTTTGACACATTACTTCCATTTGATTCTGCAATTTTTCTTGCGTAATCTTCTCTTGATCCTTACTTAACTTCGTTATTTGCTCATTATAAACTATTTTCTGTAAATTTAACGTAAAGTAACATTTACGTGAAACATGAGTTAAATTTTTAAAATACCTATAGATATTTTTCTACTTACCATTTGTTGTTTGATATCTTCTAATTTTTGTTCATATTTAGCATGTATCTCTTTTAACTGACTGTCAAGGTTTTGTTTTGCTAGCTTGCTTGACTCATCTTTTTCTTCATGTAACTGTTGATTCTGTTCTTTCAAACGTTCTAACTCTTCTTTTAGGGATTGCACTTCAGATCCTTCAGAGATTGTTAAGTTAACTTCCGTCGACGCTGTCTCCATCAACGCTGACTCCGTCGACTTTAACTTCTTTATCTCCGTTCTAAGATCATCGATATTTTTCTCTAATTTTATATTCCTCGAACGCATAGTGTCCATTTTAGTTTTTAGATCTTTCCTTTCCTTTGTCAACTGATTAATTTGATTTTGTAATTTCTTTTCTGTCTCTACTTGACTCTTGATTTCGCCAGATTTTAAACTGTTATCGTAAAAAGTAGCTAAAGCAATGAAAGATTCTATCTCTTCTTCAGATTTCATTACATCAGTTTGCAGCGTTTTGTATTTTTCCAACTCCATATTAATTACCATTTTCTCATTAGAAAATTGATCTTCTTCTACATTAGTTAGTATATCCAAACATTCCTTCTCATGTATTGAACATAAATAGGTATCATGTAGTTTTTGTTCTGTCCACAGGAACTTTTCCCATAAAATATCAGATATAAATTTGATGTTCTCTGAATAATCAATTTGACACTTCAACAATGCATTTTCAAGACTTGTCTTTTTAATTTGCAGCTGTTTAAACTCATCGCAAACGGAATTCTCAGTATAAAAAATATTTTGGAACTTTGTCAGTATTTCATTCCATTTTTGCTTGAATGATGTTAAAATAGTATCTAAATCGTTGCGCATGGCGAAAACTTTCTGTAAAGATTCCTGCAAAGATTCCTTATTTTTTATGAGGTTCTTAATATAATTATTTCGTTTCTGTGCTATTATTTCCGATTCTCGTATTTTATTCTTGAGACTGCAAACTTCTTCTTTTACACTGTTCTCTATAAGTACTTTTTGTTTTGATAAAGTTTCATTCAATTCTACGTTTGTACATGATAAATGCGAGATAATTTTCTGAGATTTGTGTAATTCATCAAGAGCCATTTTAATAATATTCAAGATATTTGCATTATTGTCTATATTAATGCACTTATACTTATTCTCTATATTAATGCACTCATACTGCAATACATCATGTATATCAAAGTCTGAACACGTTTTCGTAATCGTAGAATTCAAATTTTTCGTTGGATGTTCCAATTCTTGGCATAATTTTATAATTTCCTCTTGACTTGCATCTATATGCTTACAATACTCTTTACTCGTTTCAAGTTCTACATTTATTGTTTTGAGCATATCTTGTAATTCTGTTATTGTCCTGTTTTGATTATTAAGTTGATTTTCTAAGTCAAAGAATTTAATTTGGCACTCACGTAATGACAATTTTGTTTCTTCAAGTTCTTTATTCAAGATGTCCTTCGAATTGTCAAACCTTTCTTGAAGTTCTTCTATGTATTGACACTTTTCTTTTAGAGCTGCTTCTTGAGTTGCCAAGACAGCATCCTGACTGGATCTTACTTCTTGAAGATTAATAATTATCTCTTTCATCTTTTTTTCTGTAACATTTGCTTCGCTCATCAATTTTTCCATTTTAGTTTGTAACGTCAATAAGGCCTCTTCTTTCATTTCTAGTTTTTTATCTTTCATTTCAAGTGTTTCTTTATGAGAATGCATTAAATCGTTTTTTTCTGATTTTAAAGCTGAAACATCTAGAAGTAAGTTGTTAATTTGTGCTTCTTTTAATCCTATTTGCATCATTGTATCACTCTTTTCTTGATGTAATAAATTTAGCTTATCAGTGGCATCTTTCAACTCGAGTAATAGTTTAGCGTTATCCGACTTAAGACTTTCAAGTTTATTATTTGTTTCAGTTTTCATCACTGCGTATAATTCTTCCAACGTGTGATTCATATCTCTTAATTCCTGTGTATTGCGTTTGTATTCATTTAATTCATTGAAGAGACTTCTTTCCTTCTTTTCTAAAATATCTATCTTTTCTTTATTTTCTAATAAGTTTTGTTGTAATGTAGTATTTATTGCTTGAATTTTTGATAATTCTTTCTTATTGCAGTTAAAATTATACTCTAACTTTTCCTTTTCTTGTTGTACTTTATGATAGTCATGATGCAACGTGTAATATTCATGTTGTAATTTTTCAAATGTTAGTTTAACAATTTTTTGATATTCTCCAAAGTCTTGCTCAGTTTCTTCTTTTAATAATTTTAGATCTTTATTTATGTTCTGTAGATCTTCTAACTGTGTCATAACATGTTTCAGCAGTGACTTTCGATTTGTTAAATTATTTGTTAATTCGTGTAAATTTTGTTCCAAAACGAGTTTCTCCTCTCTAACTTCTTTTAAAACTTTGATTTCTTGTGAGTATGTAAGAATAATTTGTTTTTGTTCATTTACTAATAAATCCTTTTGCTTCTTCTCTTCCTCGATATTAGTTAGTTCCACAAGATTTTGCTTATTTTGTTCTTCTAAAGCTGTAATGATTAATTGTTGCTTACATAGATTTGTATCAGTTTCATCTATTGTTGTTTTTAATTTCTCGATATCATTTTCATATGAAACGCGCATTACATTGCAGTTATGTAACATTGTTTCAATACATTTTGTAAGATCATTAAGCGTCGAATTATTTAAATTATCAGTTTTAACTTCTATAAATTGCTGATTATCACAATGTAAGATATCTCTTAATTTTTTGCTACAATTTTCGATGGAAGATCTGTATGAATCTCTTTCATCGGTAAGCTTATGAATGCATGTAAGATGTTCTGTTATCTGTGATTTTGTTTGTTCTAGAGTAGTGCTTAAATGTGAGGAATTGGTCTTTTCATTTTCAAATAATTCATTCAAATTCTTCATGTCTAGTTTTAAGTTTTCCAATTCTGTACTCAGTGCGATATTCGATTGTTCTGTTTCAGACAATTTTTTCTCTCTAGATGAAAATAAATTTTTCAAATCCTCAGTTTGAGTAACAAGAGAGATTTTTTCTACCCGTAAACTTGCAACAGCTGTATTTGATACATCCAATTCCTTCTGCACATTATTTAATTCTGCTTGCACCTTATCTAGCGTCTTTACCTTTTCTTGTAGATCTCTATTGGATTCTATTGCAGCTCTATAATCCTTCGTAAGAAGATCATATCTTCCTTTTAAAGAATCAACTTGAGCATGCAATATAGCAGATTCTTCTTTAGCTTCCTGGAGTTGGATTTCGATTACAGTACTTAAAACTTCGCTAGTGTTCAATGACCTAGTGGCAGGATAAGATAGATCTTCAACCTCAAAACTTTGTTCTGGATTAGTATTTCTGTTCAATTCTTTCATATGCGCGCGTAATTCTTCATTGTGCATTCTAAGTTCTATCAGTTCTCTGTCCTTTAATTCAATTTTGTTTGTTAAAGATTCCAAGGACCGTTCGCAGTTTGCAAAATTTTCCTTGTAATGTTTAGATGTTCTATGGATGCAACATAATTCCTTTGACACAGCATCTTTCTCTGTTTCCAGTTTATTAATTTCATCCTGCTGTTTACTCAATTGATTTTCCAGATCATTAATATATCTTTTGTAATAATCCTCTTGTGAATTATCTTCTTGTATACGAGATGGTTGAGGAGTGCTTGGCTTGAACCATCCCTCTCGTAATTCCTTTATTTTCGTGGATTTTTCTTCAAGCTTCTTCTGCAACTTTTTTATTTTATTGTGCTGCATTAATACGTCATCCCGTAAATCCGCATTAGTAAATCGTTCTATCGTCAAGCTACACTTCAAATCTCTCAACTCTCGAACTCGTTCAATCAAAATTTTTTTGCTACGTCCAGAACATGTTAGAGGCGAATTCAAAAAGTCCTTACTGGGCGATGTTCGTGGTGTTTTGCAATTATCCATAGATGTTGATGTATCCTCTACCTCCATAATAACTTCTCTCATAGTTTCCTTGGTAATATCTTTGCCAATAGGTAGAACACTTTCAAGAAAGGCTTTAACTCTAATTTGTGTTTCATTTTTCAAGTTGTCACACATGTTGTATTGCAGAGACTGATGTATTGCAAAAAGTGTTCGACACAAATGTAACAATAACAAAGATGCGATGTATACATGTTCTTCTTTATCATCTTTGTTAACTTTAAAAGTAGGATATTCCTCTGTAAACAAATATAACAAAATGTTAATTTTCCTAGTTATATATAATGTAAAATTTTAAAAATTAAGTGGAATTTATATTTCTTGCTTAGTATTTCTACTAACTTCAATTTTTACTTTTCAAATTTAAGAACTTACAGATGATTGACAATTAGGAAACTAAGCAATATGAAAAACAAGAATTTGCTTGCCTTCTATAAATTTTATAATGTCTTCTTGATCAAAATCCTGAAGCTTCTTCCATTTTCTGCAACATGATGAGTTGAATAACAATATAGGCTTAGATAACAGGTTTGCATTGCAATATACTCACATTAATTTTAGGAAATTGATATAAAATATTCCATCTTGCAGTTCTATTATATTTATCACTGGTTTGTCCTGCACTTCTAGGCAATTGATCTATAAATTTAAACATTTACCTATTAGACGTATTTCTTCTTGAGTTCTCTATTAAACACAATTAGAAAACTCTTAAAACTTTAGGATCACAAAATAATTTAAGTATTTCATTAAAATTAAAAATTTGCGTTAAAAAATTGCAAAAACACGAGTAAAAAAGAATGGAAAATTCAATTATGAAACTGAGAGTTCGACATATATATGTAATTGTGTATACACGAAAGTCCACAGAGAAGCTTTGTGTGTTTTCGACGCTTATACGTAAAATTACTGCTCACCCATTCTAAAATAACTTTTTCCCACAGCTTCATAACTGTCGAGCATCACCGTGTTTAAAGTCGTTAAAGAATTACGGAGTACACCGTCTCCGTTACTGTACACACGCAAATAATACACAGAATTCGTTTGATTTTTCGAACAACGGATATGTTACAGAGCGGCCAACAAAATTAGAGCCAATATTCCCAGATTTTGCACGCATGCGCAGCAGTTCGGCCAATCTAACCTAATCTAACCAGCACACGTTGATATGATTGGCACAAGCAATTTAAAATTGATTAAAATCGAATTATTCCGTTAAGAATATCATATATACATATATACATACATTAAGCCGATTAAGCATTGGATTTTCACACACTTTCTGCGAATTCTTGAATGTGTGTGATAAATCTTTCATAATAAATGATTTGTTCTTCGGAAACGAGTGGAATTCGTAATCTAACGATTTAATTAGTGCTTTTGTTATTATAGAAATTCTAGATTTGATCAACTCTGTGATTTGCAATTTATTCAGTAAAAGTTAAGTTTGCATAAATGCGAGGGGCGAGGGACGTCAACCGTGAGATTGCAGGAGAATGAGCGTTGGCGATAAGCGCGATTGGCAACCCTGCGTGAAGTGTGTATTTCAACAATAGTAAGCGATATCCCGGAAGTTTACGGCAAAAGTAGGCAAAAGTTTAACCGGCGAGCGAGTATCCGAGTACGAATATTGACAAATACTGACAAGTATTCGCAGGAGGCACTTAGCAAGCACCGAAACTGCGAATCTCATGTGATCAGCAGCGTCATGAGCTTAATCTCGGATCCGTTTCTGTTCGTAATCACACTGTTTGTCACGGGCTGTGTGCTGTTTCTTCTGGTGTATTATGTATCCTTTTTGTCACCCAGGTTCATTCTATCTCTTTTGACAATTTCGACGCCGGACTCGTGAAACGATAGCCTTTGTACGCATGAGACTTTCTTCGCAATAAAGAGGTTATTTTGGAATTGGCAGCGATGCAATGGCGCCAATTTCAAATCTTCCTCCCGCCTGCATAAGCAAGAAAGGATCAAAGCTTGTTGGAGCAAGAGACACAGATGACAGTGGCTGTGTTCCAAACTTCACTGCCAGCGCTGAAAATCTATAGTTTACGTTACGTGTATTATACATTTTCAGCACTGGCAGTGAAGTTTGGATCACGGCCAGTATAATATAATGAATCATTCCATCCTTGTTTAATGTTGACAATAAAAATGTAATGATTTAGGGCCATGGCACACAAAAAAACTTAAGCAGTAAAATGTAAGCAGTAAGCGAATTGACCAATCACAGTAGAGTCCATAAGGCCATAACATAAGCAGTAGCGAATCCAACATGTTGATTTCCTTACTGCTTATGTCTTACTGCCTTAAATTTTTTGTGTGCCAGGGCCCTTAGGCCCGGTTCCATCTTTTAGTATATTTTACCTGTTGAGTAAATAGCAAGATTATCCAATTATATGCGCGGATTGCCAGATTTACCTAACAGGTAAAATTTACCAAAAAGTGGAACAACTGGCCCTTACTGTGCTACATTGTGTCCTTGTTGGATTACCTATTCTACACTAGATTAGTATATGTTAAAAAAAAGGCTGTTTTGTATAAAGTATCTGAATGCAGTGACATAATATAATCAACAATGAAATGATAAGTACATATATATTCTGTTAAATGACATGACAATATTATTATTGGATATTTAATTATTTAAAATATTTATGTTTTTACATTTAATTTTGCTAATTTCATGTATAACAGCTTTTCACTAACCTTGTATAATGTGAATTTGTTATTAGACATTATTAATTAATTGTTACATATTACTTTCCTTGACCAAAGTGTGAAGATTATAACGCTGTCTGATCTCGAGTGTGATTATCTGAATGCGCAAGAATGTTGTTCCAAGTTAAATATGTTATGATGTCATATATATATATATATATATATACACGAATGTAAATTATTCATCATTAATTTTCATTTGCAGGGAGTTTTGCCAAAGTTGATAGGACATACGTTTGTGGTATTTCTTTTATTGATACACGGACAGTTTATATTAACGCTAGCGAACATACCGATGACAATTTGGTTGTTTTACGAGTACTTTAGCGTTCCTAGTGGTAATATGGGAGTTTACGATCCCACAGAGATTCACAATCGCAGCAAGCTGAAGAGATACACACGTGATTGCATGATTCATCTCGGATATTGCATTGTATTCTTTTTCATTTATCTTTATTGGTAAGTAAATACAGTTTATATATAATAAAAGAAAGATGGAAGATACATATTTTTATATGTAGAGTAAATAAGAAATGGAAAATATTTATTCTTTTTTTACTCTTTAGCATGATTGTGGCGTTGCTCAAGGGAGATCCAATCAATAGAAGCGACGATATAATAGATTTGTAAACATACAGAAATTAAGGCAAAAAAACCCCTTTTTTTATATATATATATCATGTTTATGTTATCTTATATTCTAATGATATAAGAATTTTTTACTTCCACTATATTTACACGGCACATCACACATCACGTTCTTTAAACAATAAGTATTATTTATGAAGTGTTTTTCCATTTTTTAACAATCATTTTCAATTAAGTATTTAGATAAATATGTGTACTACTCTCAAATAACTGCTATCATTTTGGTTCCAATTTATTTCAAGATAACACACAATTTCTGACAAATATTTTTCACTCATCTACTTAATGCTTTTGACAATATTTTTTATTTCAAGATCTGAAACTATTATTCGTGCTAAGGCCTAATAAAATAAATAGGAACCGTACAGATATCAGACGAATACCAAATGTGTTATCATGTCCATTTGAGTATGCGAACAATCTTAAGTTTCTAGTCGTAAACGATGTAAGAGTGAATGTCTGTATCATAGTAGAGGTTGCGTGTTTAAGAGTAATACAATCATAATATTTTAATATAACATTTCATTATATCTTATTAATCCGAATACGGGAATACAACCCATTAAAGTTTCCCCTTTCTCCTTGTCTCATTTAAATGCGATAATCTGCAACAAATATTTTTTAGGAGGGCCGCGACCTGCGATTTCTCAATCGTTATATCACACGATTTTTCTTATCAACTATCGTTGAAATGAATCCCGAGTTGGCAATAACAGACGCTATCGCAGACATAAAGGAGGAGAATGCACGAGAACATGAGACCTCATTGTCGTCGCTGTCATTGTCGTTCTATTTCACATGTTTGCCAAGTCGAGTTGACTTAAGTTTAATGGCAGTTGGATGAGATTGGATCGATTTAATGGGTGCGGTGTAGGTGATTAGTCCATCCTCTCTTTATTGTGGAAGGGCGCTCGCTTATTTTTAGATCGAATTCAAAGCGGAATCTACATAGTTATCGCGTAGGAGTGCGTTCTGTTTCACGCTTGATGTATCATTTTATCCTTGTTCGCCGAATATTAATGAAGAGTAAAATGATTATACATCGTGCACATCATGCGTGAAAACGGAACGTACCTCAACGTATCCTAATGTCAGTTTCTACTAATGTACATTAACTTTAATCTCGATTTAACTTAATTTTCGTTTTTTTTTAATTCTTAATTTAGAACTAGAAGAAGATAAAGAGTTACAGCGTTTTTTTACTGTAGCGAATTTGAATCAATCTGGGTTCGAGGTCGACATCACATGTTCTATCACTAGTTGATGTTATATTCTTTATCAATAAGAGCATTTATCAATATCATTAAATTAATTCAACCCAGATCGATTCAAACCTGCTACGGTCGAAAACGCTATTAGTTGAACCGAACTTAAAATTAAACTACATTGATAGAAACTGATATAAGACATATACATGTGTGTGTGTGTGTGTCGCGTATAGACCTTTTTTATCCTGTATTTTCCGAAAAATTTAGTAACCCTCGGTCGAGCGGAGTCTATCATCCGAGCCGTCGGAAACTCATTTAATTCTCATCGCCACGTCGTTGCGTCGTGCAAATTGCTCGGAACTAATGCAAAATCGATGCGCTACGAGGCCCCGCGCGGCGGGATCCCGGAATTTGCGGAACGGAGAACCGCAAATCGATCCCCGCGCGTGTATATCCGAGGGGATAATAATCGAAGAGGGTCGCGCAACCCCCATCCTCCCCG